TTTCTTTGGCTCATATTGAGGATCGGTTGTAGTAACCCTTTGTGTTACGCGATCAAAGAGCTCTCGGGAAGGACCGGATCTCCCACGATTGTGTGGAAATCTTCCCTCCTTCTCCACCTCCATTAGAGGACTCCTCACGGAGGCCAGCTGTATCTGGTTGACAGTTGTTGAACCACTGCGACGTGAACGGAGTCGGACGAGTTATCTCGTCCGGCGGCGCGGCTATCCTCTGCCTTTGCATACTGGGAGCCCCGCTCCCAACTGATGGTTGACGTACTAAGTTTAGTGTTAGAAAGTACGACGCGGCACATCTAAAGACGCAGAAGGACTCGTCACTCAAAGTCTTCCCGGCACGGTCGTCACATGGATTTCGAGGTTGTCGTTACCTCGTACATATATCACAGAGATACGTGTGCCACCACGGGCTATTAGGGAGGTAAGCTCCTCCTTGAGCAGATGTGCAGAGTGTTCCGCACAACATGGGCAGCTTTGAGTCCCCCAAGAGAAGGAGGCAGGGTAATCCTCCTTCTCCCTTTTGACAGACGATGCAGCTTGTAGCGTGCACCTGTCGGGGTTCGCTTTTCAAACTTTTCACGAGCTTTGATAAGTTTGTCGTTCCAAACGTCACGACCTACATCCTCAAGGTTATGGATGTAGGCGCTCCACGCTTGAAGTAGTGAGGGACCATCACGCTTGTGATTCCCACTGTACCATCGATGTCTAAAGAAAGCATCGATGATAAATTCATTCTCAGCGCGATAGTTTTTTTCGCGCTGGGGTCAAGGTGATGGATCTTTGACGAATGAACAACCGTGTTCGATAACGATCACTCGTCGTCGCCGACAAGTGATCCATGACAGATTTGGAGGCATCCATGCCTTCTTCTCGGGAGCGAGACGCAAGACATTGCGGTCCTGCTCTTCCTGCGACGTGCCGACAGAAGGACTGGCACCTCGATGTGAAGTGGTGTCCATAGGAGAACCGACACCACTATTAGCGCCCGAGTCTCGCGACCTCCGAGCGCCTTCGCTTCGGCGATGGTTCATCTGATTCGTCAGATGAACCAAAGATGCTACGACACATAGCATCATCTATGCCAAGCTTGGCAGGCGGCTGATCGATCGCCGTCGATACGGATCCGTCTTTCCGTATCAGGAGAGTATGAGACTCCGAGCTCATACTCTGTGAAGACATGAGTGTCTTCATGACCAGCGCCTGCATCACCAAGTGACACAGGCTGAGTCGCTTCAGCAACCGATGAGACATCAGTTGCTGTGGTTTCTGCTTCGACGTCCAGACAGAGACGTGCGGACGCGCTCTCGGCGGCCTTGCTCTCGCGCATCGCATGGGCTTGTTAACCATGCGATGAAATGTTGGAAAGTGGACTCGACCAACAAGTGAAACCCCTGTCCCTAAATGATTTAGGACGAGTATCCATTTAGTCAATCAGTCACTAAAGTGACTGATGGTTAAGGGGGGGGTGATGTAACGGGGTGAATCGTTACATAACAATTTTTAAGAAACTGTTAACAGAATATAACTATAAGAGTTATATTCTCAGAATATTGTCATAAGGACAAATATTCTGCAGCACTTACGAGTAGTTCCTAATTGGTTAATATATGCCATTATATCAACCAACGAAGACGCGCCACGACAGACGCACGCAATGAGTGGTGAGCAGATAACTGATCTACACATTTGTAATTAGACATAGTTAGATGAAGATAAATAGTGATTTATTAACAGACATTAACTATGCTGAATACAGTTCTACTTTTACTTAAACTAAGCTTCGCTTCTTCTTACCTGTCTTCCTCTGCACGTACGAGTGTACGTGAAGTTCCGAGGCACCCGCCTTATTCTGTCATCAGAATAAGTAGCTTGTACTGTCACCAGTACAAGCTCTCAGGGTGCCCCGTTACAATTGTGGCATGTAATGTGGCATACAACGTTGTGATGAATACAGCAAAAAGGTGTAGTGAAATCATTCAATCTCAATCGATAACTATTGGTAAAGTCTGTTAAAACAAGACCTTGTTTTTAGCGTTTTTAACGCGGGAAAAAGTATCATGTTATCAAGAGGGACTTTTACCTAACATCCCTTGGTGACGGCATATAATTCATTGAGAAATATGAGAGATTAAAATTTAGGGAGCTATCCTCTTCATCCGAGCAAGGAAGTTCGACTTTAGTATTCCTGTTATTTCAGTGTGCCAAGTGCATCAGATGACAACTATTTACACACACTGACTGGCGGAAGTGCGGTATTGTCGATGCACTAAGTGTCGAGTAGTTTGTTTGTTAGCCCTCTCCGCCCTTGGTCATTATTAAGCCGATCATGTGTGAGCATTGGTGTGTGTTGTAATTTACATTATCATGCTATCGCACATGGGTGACCCTTTAAAAGAGTGAGTTCTGCAATGCATGTCAACCTACGAGGATGAGGAGGCTTGATCGCACTCAGTGCTACGTGTAATTTACAGCTAGCGTTATTTTACAGACACACAGACAGCCGGAAAGTACGATTTGTAAAAACTCGGCATTCACTTCGCGCACTGTCACTTACAGTTTCACACATCGGGCTTGCAATAATGCAATTGCGTGACTCTTCATAGCTCTCATTCGACACACGATTTATTGGATGTGTTCGATTGTCCTTATTGAGGTATTGTGTAAGAAAAACGTACATGGGTCGACCGTTTAAGGAATTTGGACAGCTTTTAGACGTCGTTTGACTTGCATTGGAGCGAAGGAACTTGATGGAGCCGTGCCTGTATAGCGGTTCACTCGTCCAAACTGCTTCCAGAAGCACGTGACTTCGTCTAATCATCGATGTGGACATCTATCCCTCAGAAGCTCAGATGGTCTAGACATATACGTTTGCTGAGGAACGCACCCTCAGCTTTTGCGACTGCATCACTACGCAACGAACAGAATGATGGGACCATCGGGTGCCTTGGCAAGCATCAACGGCTCGAATCAACTGATTGCCCATTCCTTGCTACGACTAACCCAAGGTCGTTCAAACAATGTTTGACGCTCTGTCTCGTTGGTGGCACACAGAAACCCTGGTACCACCGAGCTCGCCCTCTCGGAAGAAGCATCCAGTCTGGCAATGAATTCGACGGATCTGTACTGGCTGGGCTTCAGTGTGTCCAGTTACAAGCGATATGGCGTGGCGGCTCGACGTAACGCAGTATACTGTGAGGCAGTCCATTACATAGGCACGAATGTGTAAGCCCTGCTTGGTGAAACATACTCGCGTTGTAAGGAGACTAAGGGACTGACATGTACTCTTGTTAGAAAAGAAAAAGTGATCCATGCACACAGCAAATGCAAAAAGGTTCGTCATTCTCATCGCTACAATCTTGTTGCTGAGCAGGTGGTGGCTTTTGTATTAGCATCGGCAACAACACCATCTCTATTCTGTGTGACTGCGTGGCGTCGTCACCATCGCATCTTGGGATGCAAAGAAGCCACAATATGTTTTTCGTGGTCATTGCTAGGATTGCCGTGATGGTTGGTATCATCGACGTACAGGCGGTGAGAAGCGACATGTGACGGGCATTATTTAGCTCGTCTTACTCGTTCTTGTCGAAGTATATCGTTACCTTACGCTGTCGTGACTGTAGCGCTATCTGAAAAGCGAAAAGAGGAATTACATGAGTCGATAGAAGGATTTGATGCAACAGTAACAAGCATAAGAGTACAGTTGTGCGATCGCTTGTGTAAACATCCAAGTGCTCGGTCAGCAACTGCTGTGCACAAGTTCATCCATTAGCTAGAATGACCATACGCCTGTCATGATCTTCTACGACAGTAGCAGGCAACTCACCAACTTCATTACTCGTCTATGCACGCTGGTTCGCGCGTCTCAGTTAGAATATGGGATATGTAGTGAGACGGATTTGCACGCTCTACCATACATTAAATGAATAAAATAGTCGCTAGTTTTGGTACTGTTTGCCGGATGAAATGCGTCTTCACCCAGAAGTGTAGCAGCATGTTACACTTCCATCCAGCACTCCCTCTTTCAAGATCATCAATGGTCGTGCTGGAGTTCGTGAAGTCTGACGCATTAAAGCTTGGCTACGCCCAGCACAGCCCTGGCCAGTAACTTAAAACAACTTCCATAGTTACCTATGCTAGCGTGTGAATTTCCTTATCGAGTCAGTGCCAAAGTTGTAGCCTGTCTCACATTGAAGTACTGCATCGTCACGCTGGCTATTAAGTCCTTCATATTACTTATCATCTGTAGCTAGTTCCCCTTGCGCGATCTCTGATTGCAGCAAACAGCAATGCGAACACCAATGAGTCAACCAGCATCAACCAGTTGCACTCATCGTATTCGTAACGATCGATATGATCATTCAGTCAAGTGATCCATCCGCGTTACCTACCAACAGGCCGACGCTTGACCCATCGAGCGCCTTGTAGTCTCCTGCAGAGTACAAGTGTTTACTTGCGTGTTAAACTTTCTTTAGCAGTTATGACGACGTCGACACTTCTTGCTGTCAAGCGAAAAGTGTTGACGGTAGTGAACATCCACGTCGATTCACTTCCTGCACCACACAACATGCTGCACTCGACACCAAATGCTAGACTTAGAGTACAACCGACATTCTAAAGGCAGAACGGCAATAGGAATAGTAAATGCACAAACTCAAGCAGGTCATATACGAGTGAAAGAAGGAACGCGAACGATGGGACTCTACAATTGTTCATCCATCTCCTGTAACGCATCAAGTATCACCGTCTTGTATTACCAGTCTCTTAAGCTTGTGCAATCTTCTATAAGCTACGTACGTAGTAATTTCCGTGCACCTCGCCCATTGCAGTAGCTCCTTGATCACCTCGTCACCATGGAAGCGAGTTGCTTGAGTGATGACGAAGGATGAACGACACTTACTCGCCAGGACGCGCCTCTTGGTTACTTGTCTTTCCCAGCATTCATAACGTCTTCGAGGTCTTTAATATTCGCCCCAACGGGGTTATGATTAAGAACTGCTCCCACTTCGGCGTTCTTTGATGCGACGCTCTCTGAAGCGCTTGTTGTCGCCCTGAAACGTCCTCCGACCTCGGATGCCCACTTCGACATTTCCCCCGCCGAAACCGATCGCTGAATTTAGCTCTCGCAGGGATCGGCCGTCGTTGCGTGCATCAGCAGCAGCAGAAGGAGCCGAACGCAAAAATGGGTTCTCCGTCGTCGCAGGAATCAGGACCACCGCGTCGACACAACGATGCAGGGGAGCTACAATCAAGAGCAGGGTAGCAGACAGACGCATGAGAGCTCAAGAGGCTTTGGACTGGAGGTGAGGACTTTGAGGCGAAATGCAGAATGAAAGCTCCACACACACACATCACCGGTCTGATCTCCAAGGCTGGCATCACGAGGTTTTGTTCAGTAGGTTTTTACGGTTTAATTCTCAACCCTTAGCTTCCAGTTCGAGAACTTTCTGAAGTTTAATGAGGTTTTTGTAACTAACGTCGCCCAGGCATCAATAGGTCCGTCATTCGTAATGGCAAGAACCACAGAATTGCCTCGAATATATGATAATGGCGCCCTTTGTCGGTCGATAAGCTAGTCTACATGAAAACAAACTACCGTGTGCTCGCACAAAGCGATTTCGGATCCGACCTTTCGGATGTCGGCTGTTCGGATGACGATCTTGAGTGAGATGTACATACATATTAACAGTTGAGGTTTAGCGAGGTTTAGCGGGGTTTATTCAAGGTTTTATTGACTCAAACCTCTAACCTAAATTCTCTGCAAAATAAAATGAGGTTCAATCCAAGCTCGTCTCAAACAAATCTTCAGCATTTAGGAGTCCGGATCTATTTACCATATGGATAGAAAAGAAGGCACGACTGGGCTTTTGTTTCAAAAAAGTACAGTAGTTTTCGGCCTCGAATACCGCGGCTCTGACGTGTCGTACCTTGTAAGGTCTTTGACATCAAGAAGGGACATCTCTGTCGACATGCCAAAAATTTGGGGATTCGTAATGCCCGGTCGTTTTTGTAAAATGCCCGCATTCAGACGATTACTTTGTATGTCTCCTTTTCTGGATGTACGCATCCCACTTTCTTTACAGGTCAGACAGTTATACAACCCTTTTTATCCTATATTCTACCACTGTCACGGCCATCGTGGCTTGACGTCCCGTAGCAATGTAATAGCCTAATTTGGTCTGTAAAAGGTAGCTTACCTAGTGATGCTCTAGTAGAATAGGCCACCTGTAACGGTGTAGCCCATTACATGATGCTGACACCAATTCCGGTGTCAATAGAATTGTCCAGCGTAGTGATTTCCTTGTGTTATCTGAGATGGATAACATTGAGAGGAATATTATATCCTTAGTAGGATTGTAATCATGCGCTGCTCAAAGATTAGTTG